CTTGTTGCCATCGTGGGGTACCAGTCTTGCATTTCTTTCACATTCCAAACACTCACTAAGGGGATCAAGCACAAAAGGATTAGGGACACTTTTAAGTTACACAGTAGAATTTCTGCAGAAAAAAAATGGAATGGCTCAAAATATATATGCAACCTGAGTCTTGCAAGAGAACTGTCTCTCTGATAATATGGGAGCTAGAACCCTTCATCACGTATTCACTTGTGACTAAGCCAGAAATGGATACTAATCTACTGGAAGAGGTTCTTCCTGTAGCATGTATCAATGTATTATAACACATTTTTATTGCCAACTTCTGAATCATTTTCTGCAAGGCTCTGAGTTGGACTGTATTTCTAAGCATCTGTTTGTTTACAAACTGTTAAACATTATTGTCTGTTGATTGTTATTCCAAAAGACATTTTTTGAAACTGCATACAACACAGCATCATTTAGACCATGTGGTTTCTCTTAATATAGGTGACACCATATTTATTTAGATGACTCTGTGTATCATTTTATCAACCAAACACAGCAGAAGCTAGGCTTTCACAGCAACATGACATTATTGTGTATTTATTTGACACTATATTCATAACAGCTTGTGTGAAATAATCTTCCAACTGTCTGCTGAGATGTGAGGCCCATCAGTCAGTGGCTGCATTATAAAATGTATGCTCTCTCTAATGGCTTGTCAACACACATTTGTTTCACTAATTTAATTAATTGGTGAAAATTTCTTGAGTGCATAAAGCCCTACTGGAGTGAAGATGTTTATCAACACAATAGATTTCCTTAATATATAATATTGATTATTCTTGTAAATTCGGTAAAGGACCAAAAGCTGCCACATTAAGGTAAGACTACAAATACCATATCTACTCTAAGGTGTTTTAGATGTTAAATATTGTGTTATAATAGCAAACATATTTTTCGTCATTTAGACATGCCCATCATGCACATATCTAAATATGGAAATTGATTGTAATAGATTTTTCAGAATAAATTATTCTGGAATAAAAATCAGAGGAAAACAGAAGTCACTCTGGAGTAGCTTGTTCCATAATAAAAATTCTGGTCACTTTCCAGGTATGGAGAAAAACTTAGGGCACCTATACACATGCTCTGGGGTGGGGGTGAGGGGTGGCTCTTGGGAGCCACTCTAATTAGAATGCCACAAGGTCTCATGCATTTAGTGTCCCATCTTTCAAAATGGTGTGTGGGTGCGGGGGGAGCTTTAACTAAAACTCATTCCACAAGCTTTAGTTAAAGCATCCCTGTCACCATTATGAAACGGGGTTGCTAATCCACAAGACATTGCAAAACGCTGGATTCCATTAATTGAGTCTTCTCCAATGCATTCTAATCAGAGCGTGTCAGAGCAGTGTAAAAATGCCCTTAGTTCTCAGCCTTTCGAGCCCTTTTGAAGCCAAACAGAAATGATGCAGCTGTTACCAGGAATTAGTTCTGTCACTGAGTGCTGAATTTAAGTTGTAACATGAACAGAGACAATTCTGCTCTCCATTTGAATTTGAACACAAATTTCCTACAAATTTTTTTAACAAAAAGCTTCCATTTTTTATTTTAATAGCTGCCATTCTAAGTTTATTTGTTCTTTTGCTGTAAACCATTTTGGAGGGGACCTACCAGTGACATTTCCAAATCAATTAATTAGATACTGCTAGTGGCTTTAGAATCTCAGCCAGTGCCTTTCAAAAGGCTTCCACTGTTGACTTGAGAAGATTTGGGTCATGTTGTACAGGCAACTGCAGCAACCTGACTTTTCTTTTTGTTCTGGTTCATTTTCTGGTTTTTCATTTAGCTGTAATTCATGCACAGAGTCTTGGATTTAGAACACTTTTATTATTTCTTTTACATGATACGTAAGTGTGTGGCCCTGATTTTAAACGTTGCAAAGGCAATCTCAAGTCTGACACTTCCTAGCCTTTGACTTAGTAGCTGTAGCAATGTTCTTTTTAATAAAGCTTCTTGTATGTAAGTATTATCATACTTCAAAGTACTCCATGTTGAAGTAAACAGTTCAACTGAGGTCTAAATACTATACTGAAATATTATTCAGTATCTCCATGGAAGTGGTTTCACATATAAATGTGTGGTACAATGAACAGAGATGGAGAGATTCAGGTTTCTGAGGAGATATAATATTGTGTGAAACCTAGTGCAAAGGAATGAGAACTGATGTGTAGCCATCACTGTAGCAGCTGCACCGGAAAATTACAAGCCTCTCCACATGTAACACTGGCCTCTATACATGTTCAATAAGGTTCTTTTTAACAGCTCAGCCTGCCTGCTGTTCAATTATTGCAAATGAAACAAAGTGTATACAACATTCAAACTGAATGGGATAAAGCATATTTTATTGGTGTTACTTTGTCAGTGTTTCTTTTGTCCTCAGTATCCCACCCCCTTTAAGTGCATTAACTTCTCTAGCAGCTCTGCGGAGTGTTAGGTCTGAAAATCACTGTGACAAAGATTAGATGCAAGCTTCATTTCTACTAAAGAAGAGTCCTGTCAGAATTTATTTATGGTGAATTGATAAAAAACAAAGAAAAGGGTCAGAAACTAAAATCCTCCTATTACAGTGATTTGGCTGGCTGCTTACTAAATGGTTTGCAGGTGTTTCTCACTCAAACGTCAGGTAAGCTAAAACGAGCATTAAGTTTGCGTCTTCAACAAAGCATAGCATGTCAATTGGGAATGGATATACCATTTTAAAACTTAGCTGTGAGTAACTTTTCATCTCTTGCTTTTATGGGTTCTATTAATTAAAAACGATAATTAGCTTTTTGTTTAACGGCCTGATAATGGATATCTCATTCTGCTCCATTTGCCAACAGTAAAATCTGCCAATTCATGGAACATCTTTTTCCCCCAACATTGTCCAAGCCACAGTGAGATAAAGCTGATGAGAAATGGAAACTCTGTTTAACTTAGTAGACTTCCCAGAAGCTCTTTTGTGGCTTCTAGAAAAATTTTCTATTTAAAAAAAATGTATCTATGTGTAGAAGTAACAGCAATGCCAGTTCCCACCTGCATAATAAGCATTCCTGACTGCCCTAAATATTTCTTTTTTGTTCCTGGCATCCTTCACATACCAATAGAAAAGGGCTCTCCCTCTCCTCAGATCAAGGGCACTAAGTTTCCAACACGATAAGTGTTAATGAAAGTTCAGGAATGGCAGAACTAAGCCAATCAGTTTTGCTTGCATGCAGAAGCATGACGTTTTATAGACTCCCTTCATTTACGATTGACTATTTAAAGTGCTTTCACACACAGTTTAAAAATAACTGTGAATAGATATCTCAATTCTATGACTATGTCATTAATCCATCAAAACACTTTATTTTAGGCTCTAAGAATAATTGGCATTAAGATAAATGCACGTGACTTTAATGTGATATTTTTATTGGACTTCCATAAAAATATAAACACAGTGTTAGATCAGAATATGTCTTTTCTTCAGCAGTTACAAAAATAACTTTGAAACTGGCATCAGTCATTTTGTATGTACTCTTTTATGGCCCAAATACCTTAAAAGGTATCTTTACCTAAAGGAGACAAATATAATGAAAGGGCTTTTTGGCACAAAACTATTTTTATGTGGGTAGAAAAGTGCAAACGTGTCTTATTATCTGCTTCGTTCAGTGTTATCAATGTTGAGTGAAGGTATAGCTTACAAGTTTTTATGATTTATGGAAGCAATCTTCTTTTTCTTCAGTCTACCATCTGTGACACCCTCTACTGCTTATGTGCTTTTAAACATGCGTTGAGGCAGCTGTATCACTTATATTCCCTTTGTTCCCTCTCTCTTTTCACTTCAGCACCAAAAATAAGGAGTCATTATGGATCTTTCCAGGCACATTGTGTCCATGTTTGCAGCTCTAATTTATTTTTATTCATCCATCAGAGTTTGCTGAGTAAAAAAAATAAATAAGGGCCTCAGGAAGGAGCCCAGCAGTTCAAGATTAACTGATAATTGTCTGGATAGTAGTTTGATGTGGTTTATATTTTTGTTTTGAATGAAGATTGAGGCAGAGACTTTTTCATTAAGTTTTATTATTTTATTGCTGTTGTTTATTGCTCGCAATTCCTACTTGCACTTAGCTAACACTAGAAGACGTATTTGGGTCATAATTCTTTAAACCATTGTTTGCTGTTTTGATGAAAAAAGCAAGCCATTAAAATATCTCCCAGTAAGTTCATATAAAGTAGTTTTATTTGCAACCTGTTGCTAAAGGCATGGTATAAGGTTGTCAGGTCTATGCTGAACAAAATGCTGCTGATTCTGATGCAGAATTGCTGAAAAAAGCTGCAGGGGTTTTGCATCACTATTTCCCGAGTGATCTCAAGATATATAAAGGCCAAAACAGTAAGATTAAAGCTCTGAGAACTTCAAGGATTGATTCATTTCCCCGTCTTTTGTTTGTCTCTTTAATTGAAGTACTTTGCTTTCATTTCATCATAGCCTGAGGTTTTTCTTGAAAGAATATGTTTGTGGACTTGTTACTACCAACTCACTCTGGATTTGTTCTGCTCACTCCTCTGGGCAGAGAGCCGTAGGGTTCATTGGTACTAGAAACCCTGGGACCCCAAAGGAAGCCCATCTGCTTCTCGCATTTTAAGCACCATCTCATCCGGCTCTGCTCAGGACAAGTTTAAGCAACCCTGCGCTTAAAATGCTGCTGGCGGCTAACTACACAAACATATCCCAGTGTTATTAATTACAGTGCAGCAAAACCACTGTTAGCAACAGCGGAGTAAAAAAACAAAAAAGATCCCTGATACATCTTCCATGCACTTATCTCTTAACCAGATTTCAAAACTGCCACTTTTCATCTGGCAGCGACAAGGACCAGTTTGAAGTCGACAGTACAAAAGTCGAATAAGCAGATTAAAAACTGAAAAGAGAAAAGACAGCATGAAATAACCCCAGCATCAGGGTGGGGGTCTTTGCTTGTTTGCTTTTTGGTTTTGCTTTTGTCAAGTAACTTTCCAGCGTGCTGGTTGTGGAGAAAACTTCAACACATCACCAGTGTGGATTCTAAACCCCAAAGGCAACTAAAAAAAATCTAAACGCTTTTTTTTTTTTTTTTTAAATCTCAGGATTTTAGGTTGTTCGCTGTCTTTGCAAGGCAGGGAGAGATGCCTGTTTTATGATTTCTGAACCCTTTGGGCTGATAATAGTGCAGTGCAATTTTCCGCATCCCTTCTTTGTCCTCTTCCCCTGTATTTCTCTTACTTCATCTCTGATAAACCATGTGAGGACCTTTCCCTAGACCCTTCCCTCCTCCTGCCTGTCGCACTTTCTGTGACATGGCGGCTGTGCTTTCTTGCACTTGTAATGCCTCTAGGGAGTAGTAGCTGGCCAGAGGTTGTCTGCACAGTTGTAGGCACCTGTTCTTGCACCCTGCTTTCCTCTCAGTTCCTAGGATCCACTTCTTTCCCTCCGCCAAGAAAATCTTTTACTTTTTCTGGCTGTGAGGCTCTTTTCTTAAGCTCACTTCTTATCTCCCCAGTCCTCTTGCATGGTTCCTTTTCTCATTGCTTGTTAAGAAGCCTGCCATGCCTGCCACCTTGCCAGGCAGGAAAGGTCAATTTAGGGCAATCAGGGACCAATGAGCACATGATTTTCCCAGCCCTTGCTCCCGGGCTACTGAATTTAAGTGGGAAAGGTCATCAGTCATAAAGGGGGGAGGAAGCTGCTGGCTAGTTAAGAAGGTGAGAAAAACCAGTGGACGGTCAGCAAAGGTGGGGAGAGCCATCCATCGGGAAAGGCTGTTGGACAGTCAGAAAAGGCGGGAAAGGCCGTTGGTCTGTCAAAAAAGGCGGGAAAGGCCGTTGGTCAGTCAGAAAAGGTGGGAAAAGCCTCAAGTTGGTCAGGACCAGGAGGGAAAGCCAGTGATTGGAGAGGGCAGGAAACACCTGTGGTCAGTCAGAAAAGGAGGGAAAAGCCGTTAGTCAGAAAAGGCAGGAAAAGCTGTTAATTCTACACTGCTGCTCCTGCAGAGGCTCCACGCTCCTCCTGCTCCTGGGACTGAGGCAGGAGGAGACACCTTGATATTCAATGCCCATATAACTGATTTTAATTGCACTGCTGAGAGCTTCGGGATGTCTTCCTCCCTCGCCGGGAAGCAGGACTGGTCTGTGCTTAGCCTGTTGCACCAGCACAGGGCTTCCCTGGTGAGGGAACCTGGCCCCTCTAGTGACAGCTGCCAAATCACCAGGTAAAACTTGGTGAGGTTACCAAAGATGTCCATACATGCCTTCCATGATACAGGTGGTACAGGCAACTATAGCACTGCACACTCTGACCCAGTTTGTCCATGCCAATAGGAGGGACATGACTCACAACAAATACACCGTGGGCAAAAGTGGTGCTTTTGATACTGCCTACGGACAGCATCTCACTGCTTTCATACCAGTGTGTGAGATGCACTCCTCCTAGGAAAAAAAAAAAAGGTTGCAGCACTGAATTCCCCTAAACTTAATCTTTCATTTTAATCCCCATAAGGAGAATAGGTCCCTGAGCTATGATACATACAGTATGTCCTCCTTGACTTAGAGCAGCCCAGGAGCCAGCCATAAAGCCTTTCTCTAGAAGGAATAAAATGACACAGCACCCCCAGCATCAGGTTTCACTCATGCTGCCACATGCCAGTGCTAAATAACAATGTTTCGTATCAAAGATGTCTGTTGCAATGCCATAAATTTTAAGCTGAGTTTATTAGTTTGACTGAGAGGGCAGATAAATAATTGAAAATCTTTCGTCTCAGACGCACTTGCAAAAAAAGGTCCAAGGCTCCCTTTATACGTAGCGTTTCAGTGCGAGGCTCTCAGTTTCAGTTGCTGAAACAGAAGTGGATAATCTTGCCAGTTTAATCTGAAATAAAACTTAACTTGGCTGCGACAGCTCCTGGACTATGTGATAGTAGGGTATGAAGAAATACATTGGTTTGGGCAGTTCGAAGATCAGTTGTTTAAGTGTGCAAGAAACGTAGTAGTGTTGTCAATTGCAGTTTTTCATGTGGAGCGAGTCTAGCGTCTAGTCTACATAACATTGCTTGCTAAAGATATTGGAAAATTAGGTTTTTAGGTATTTTTATTCTTTTATGGCATAATTATTTCAAATGATTCCTTGGGCCATACCAAAACTACTTTGACCTGCCAGAGGCAAGCTGACAGGCCCTTTCTTGATCTATGATATCTAGTCCTGTTTAACATAGAGTTCATTAAATTAATATTTAGTTCATCCCCTGAAGGGAAATGAAAGGGAGAAGAGAATATATGTCAAGGTTACAAAGAGCTAGTCCCACCCTCCTGTCCCTCCTTTGGAGTACCTCCAGCCTCTGCTGGCCCAGAAAGCAATACATTAGGCTAGAAAATAAATCTGGCCTTCCCATTTGACAGCATAGAGCAGATGACACATTTTACTAAATGAAATGGGAAGATGAAGAGTCTGAGTAAAAGAGTCTGATTTGTGCAGATCTATAGCAAACTTCAAGGTTCACCTGGAATATTCCTTAGAGCCAAAGAAATACAACCAAACAGCTCAGTAAAGTCAGTAGGGCCTATCTATAAAAGTACACCTGAGCAGCAAGACAATGCCATAGTTTCAAATGACTGACTATATCTATCCATACTTCCATTGAAACCAAAAAGTTTTAGAGAGTTTAAATGTGAAGGAATCTGAGATTTGAGAGAACTAGGATGTGATTATGCAGCAGCTTTACAATGGGAAATGAGCTTATACGTTGGGTGCATGATCACGCCTTTTTATTTTTATTCACTTTTCATATGCCTTACTATTTGACCTTAGGAAAGTTGCTTAATATATCTGTTTCATTTCCACATCTGTAAAATGAAAGTAATGCATACCTATCTTTGCTAGCTGTAGTATTTTTAGTAATACCAAGGTCCAAATAGTATTAAACAGTGTTTTTAAAAGAAATCTTAGACCTTCTAAAACTGTATTCATAAAAATGAGGACAGAGATGAAACTATTGAAATAGAAACAGTTTTGCTACATTTGTATTGTTCTTGACTTGTCCTCACATAACAATTGGAGCATAGCAGCTGCTGCCCTCTTGAAATGTTCTCATCAGACTGCTCCAGAAGTATGTAAGTCCATACCCTGAGATATGAAATGGAAGAAGCATGTTCAGCTAGTGAATGAAAGGTGGTGATATTACCATAATATTTCTTAAGGACACTGGTGGAGAAATTTAGATTATTCTGTACAAACTTTAAAATGCTGGTATGGATAATTAATTTCCTGACTGTGCATGTTTATGTTTAAGTGATATTCTTCCTTAGTTTGTTGGCTAGTGACAGATTTGGGCGTTGCAGTTTGGACTTTGAGCTAAAATACATTTGGTCTATTCTCTTGTTCCTACCTAGATTTATGCTGGCATACAGTGCACTTGTAATTTTAAGGACAGCTCAAATGTTGGAATCAGATTGCTAATGAAAATAAAAGGCATCTGTCATAACACTCAGACCAACCTACTATTTTGCTATATGGAATTTGATGCCTGGTTAGTTTGTCTATTTAGGTGCAAGACATGCATTTTATTCTTTTCACAGTGCGTCTATCGAGCCAAAGCTTTCATATAATTAAAAACCTCAACAGTTCGTTCAAGGCAGCAGATCAAAAGGTTAATGTGCTGTGGTACAACAGGAAGTATTTGTACTCTTGAACATTTTTGCAATTTACAGCATTTAAAAACAAGTTAACACAGATCATAGCCAAAGCCAATATTACATCATTTAAACCAAACCATTAATCATTAGTCTCAAACCAACCAGTTGGTCTAAAAGTTCAGCTGGCTGAAAATGTGATGGTATGAGGAGTGAATGAAAATGTGCTGAATTCAGTCATGCGTGTGGAATAGGGTTCTAGGGAAACTATGCTAGACAAAGTTCAGGAAAGTATGAGTAGTAGACTGTGTTGTTGTGCACATTTAAAACAATAACACATTGCAAAAAATAATGGAAGGTAATAGGTGGTAATAAATAATAGGTGGGAAAGGAATTATGTTCATTAATACAAAAGTATCATTAATTTTTGTTGTTTCAGTACTGAAGTTCTTGAAGCAATAGAAAATGTTATGCAGGATATAGTTACAAGTTTGGCCAGAAATGAAGCACCTGTTCTCATCCTGGAAAACAGATCAGATTGGGGAAATATACAGTAGGTATTATAGTTATAGATGATGTATATTTGATTAATATAAATTCCACAATACTTATTGAATGGTTTTCTTAAAGATCTTCAAGAAAGTTCACTTTATGTAGCTTCATGAAGCATAGGGTCGCAAATTAAATTTGTTAAAAAAGCCTTCAAAACTGGAAGCTGTTAAAAAACCTTTAACAAACACTGTGCACTAAGAACCATTATCTCATTAGGTCATGTAACTGAGAAACATGGCTAGGAAGGGAAAGTGTCACAATAATAAAAAGTGGGAGAAAAAGAGGTCATACAGAGAAAATTAGATTACCATTTTCTGGAGGGAAGAGAAAACACAGGTTTTATAAGCATCTCTCCAATCTTATTGATATACAGACCCTTTGATATAGGACATACTTTTTATCCCAATGGATTGTATAGTTTGATTAAGAAACCTGGTCCAGGTTGGAAATGCTGCTCTCTATTTTTCTACTTTCCTTTTCTCTGTTTTCCTGCTATGTTTATTCTCCCATTCCTTTACCTGTTTTATGGTACAAACTTTTTCTACTCTAACTACATCTTGCTTCCTCTCTTCTTGTCAAATCTCTTCTCCCCTCTATGTCTTGTTCTTTTTTGATCTATTTTGAGTGAATTGGCAGCAAAGTAAAAGTGAACTCAGACTTTGAAACACTCTCTCATATTCCACTCACACCAGCACACTCACTCAACAGAAAAACAATGACCTCCAATGCCTGTTACATTCTAGCTATACACATTGCCATGGAACAATATTTTTCTATGGATTTGTATTTCACCTGAAGATTCTTGAGCTTGACAAGATTTACTTTCAGGAAATCTAGTGGATTTAAAAAAGCCCAGATGATCTCTTCCTTGTCCTGCAGCATCTCCAAGTGTCCTACATTAAAAGGTATGTAAAGCAGTAAGGTTGGAGAGATGCTAATAAGTGAACTCACATTATAAAATAAGAATATGAGAAAGTATAGTAAACTCATGTACATTAACACTTTGGAGGAGCTCTCTGTCCTTAGTCCGGGTAAGGATAGGGAGGGGGCTAAGCAGTGCCAGGACCGGGGGTGGGGGTTAGTGTTGGCGGGGCTGGGACAGAGAGCTCCCCTGTCCTGGCTCTACTCAGCTCCCAGCTCCTTCGGGGGGAGCCTGGAGCTGAGCAGCACTGGGACCAGGGACAGAGACCTCCCCTGTCCCCTCAGCAAGCAAATCAAGGGGAGAGCTCAGGGCTCTGCTTTGCCATGGGGCATTGCCCCAAGCCAGCATTGCTGAACCAGGCTGTGATCCCAAGCTCCACATGGCCAGGAACTGTCCCCTGCTCTCAGACCGTTCCTCCCCACTCCCTGGCACTCAGGCCTGACCCCTTGCCCCTCCCTGCTTCCTGACAGCCTGGGACTGGGACTCAGGCTGGCACTGGGGGAGCCTGGAGCTCCCCCTGGCTGTGTGGGGGGCACAGATCATGGAAGGAGGACAGGAGCAGCCCTCGACTCAACTGCTCCCACTAGGACTACATTTGCTCCCAATGCATGCGTATGTGTAGACTACTTGATAATATAAATATCCTTGGTTAACTGAGGGCACTAGATGTGCCCTCAGTTAACCAAGGATATTTATATTATCAAGTAGATATAAATGTTTTATGTCCTAAGTTGTCAGTAAAATTTTAATCGTATTACAAAGCTTAGTGATCTTGAGGATACTGACATTCCAAGGTGGGAAAACATATATAAGCTGTTATTTGCTATCAGATCATACAGGGGGGGAAATGTAGAAAACAAGTCAGTGTCACACCGTGTTAAAATAGGGAGTTTGTCAACCAATTAAAAATAACTGAACCATTATTTATGGTGGGCCAAATTCCAATCTTGGATGTAAAGCTGCCATTACACTAGGCACTTATATTGTGCTATGAAAATTAGGAAGGAAGCAAAGAAGAATAAAACCCCAAATGCACTGAGTGTGGGGGAATAGGTAAATTGAGTTCCAAACTACAATGGCACTGCAGGGTTAACAGTGGTTACAGCAGAGACAGTTCCATACTGGTATTCTGCATAAACACCAGTAGGAACATTGCCTAAAAATGAATAAACTTGGTCCTACAGTACTTTCCCTTTCCAACTGTACCTCCTTCACAGAAGGAAAGTATTTTGTAGTTGTGGTAAGAAGATTCAAGAGGGAACTTTTCTGCTGCAGTGAAAAGGAAGCCAAGCAACACTGCTCAGTGTTTGACATAATCCAAGACCAGTTCTTTTCTGAATTCCCTCCACCTACTGCTCCCTAAATTCAGGATTTTTCATACACTGTGGCATATGATGTCAATCTGGTGGAGTGTATTAGGCATGCAAGTGAAAGGCAGAAATACTTCTCTGCGGTGCTGCAGCCCAAGAGCAACAGAGCTGTTTCTGCATAAAAAGACAAATGCAATGGGTTTGGGAGATTTTAATAACTTTCATTACTAAATATACTAACTGTAAATCACCATGTGCAGTTTTGGTGCTATTATCCTTATAAGATAACTAGTAATTATTAAGAAATGCAAAAATATAGAACTCTTGGTTCAGAGATGATACCTTTTATTAGACCAACTAAGAAATTGCAAAAAAAAATAAATCTTTTTCTGCAAGCTTTTGGGTGCTCACACCCATCATCATGCGCAGGGAAAATTCAAGATGGTAAAAAGTCCCCATAAGTAGGAAATAAACTTCATTTTTGCACAGAGGAAGCTGAAGATGGAGGCCTGTCCCTCTGGGTCTCTGAGAGTGTCTTTGTGAGTTGCTCTTTGTTGTGCAAATCAGGCAGGATTCCTTCCCTGGTGGTGTCAGATGGCAAGCAGGGTGGTGTAGAAATCTTTCTTGTTGTTCAGCAATAAAGTTTAAAATCCACAATGGGCTAAAATTCAGCATCTTCCATGTTTCAGGGATGTATTTGATAGCTGTGTTGCTCTGAGATAAAAAGAAATGTAAAAATCTAGAACTCTTGGTTCAGAGATGTTACCTTTTACTAGACCAACTAAGGGATTGCAAAAAATGTGTCTTTTCCTATCTGTAGGGACTTTTTACCATCTTTAATTTCCCCTGAGCCTGATGAAGGGCATGTGAGCTCAAAAGCTTGCAGAAAAAGACAAATTTTTTTGCAATTTCTTAGTTGGTCTAATAAAAGGTATCATCTCTAAATGAAGAGTTCTAGAGTTTTGCATTTCTTTTTGTCTCAGACCAACATGACTACCAAATACATCCCTAGTAATTATTAATAAGTCTAACACTGACACTTTTAAAACAGTGGTGCCTTCTGTGTTCTCTGGGGTTTAAAGATGATACTTCAATTTATCAGTGAAGTTACAAACAATAGTAAATAATTAGGATTGAAAGGCATAGTGCTAGGTTGTTCGGCTTATCCATTTTTTCCCTTACATATCCATACGCTGTGTGGTGTCTTCTGCCACCCAAAGGATATAAGAAGCAATGCATTTTACAAAAGAAGAAATACAAATTATGTTGGTGTATCATAAACTTTTATGGTTATATTAACACTGATACTTTTAAAGCATACCAGTTATCTGTTTTCAAATATTTTAATATACTCAGAACTCCTGTGGGGAAAATATGTCTCAAGCAAAAAAAATAATAGTAATAAGAAAAATTATAGAGGTATTTTTTACCTTATAATAAAAAAGTGGTATTAAGAAAAAACATTATGCAACATGCTCCCTTTGCACATCTAGAGTCCTTCAAATCTGAAACTGTGGAACTGACAAGAAGACATCAGATGAATCTGTCTTGAGACAACAGAAAACAAAATGTTTTCCCATGGACATAGTTATAGAGAGGGACTGAGGTGCTTTGCTAATACTGTTAGTCATCTAAAATAATTCTTTTAGTTTTATCATAATTTTGAATAATTGGGTGGAAATAATAAGCATGTTATTGAATTAAAAGTGTCAGTATAGCTGGATAAGTTCAGGGGTGTGATAGTGAATTAATTTATCTGGCCAGCAGGGATTCTTGAGACCTCCTTTTCCTTGGTCATCCCCACATAGCCAGTCACAGTAGCTTTCCAGATGGTTTCAGCCTGGTGTTAACAGGAATCTATCTGCATGGGGCCTGAGAATGGCCCTGGAAGATCTGATTGAGTAAAGGGGCCTTATTATGATTTCTTAGGCAATGAATAACTAATCATATCTTTAGAATTTTATATTTTTATTTGTTCACAAAAATCTCAGGTTTACAGAGTCCATAGGCCTACAAATGATATCTCATTGTACTACAAGAAAAATAAGAAGTGACTGTCCTAAATCAGCACCAAAATTTGGTAAGTTTAAAAAGTTAAGCTTTTAAAAAGTCTGACAATTTTTTCCTTGGATTTTAGATTTGTTTATCATACCATACTATTTGGGTGTCTTTAAAAATGCATACATCCAATAAAAGTAAACTGTATCTTTTAACTGCCAATCCTTAACTAACTTTATACTTTTCTATTAAATCACAGTGTTAATAGTAGTGGAAATACATAATAATCAAAAAGGAGCATTCCTATTAAAAAAGAGTAATTGAGTAAATAGCAGTCTCTATGGCTGCTGGTCTATAGAAGATTCATGTGGTTTAGATAGCCTTATACTGCCCTCTTCTCAGGTCATGAAAATGTAACTGACAGACTGATTGGCTATGCCCTATTAATCCAGGAACACTTTTCTTTTTCTGCCTGATAAAATATTAATCAACTAAGGAAACGTTTTGAGAGGCCTTAAAATAGAGCACATGTCTTTAAAAAACTGGAGGAGGAGACAGCCTGTCACTTCTTGTAACCAGCACCTAATTAGTGAGTGGACACGCACCTTCCCAAGCAGCTGAGTGATAATTGGAAAACCTGAAGAAGAAACTTTCAGAATAAGATCTTATGCAGAAAGCTTGCATTCAAAATGTAATTTAGCTTGTTTATTCTCTATTTTAAAGCTTTATAAGTTAAAAATATTATATGCAATGTTTTTTTCTTTTCCAGCTCTAATTCTTAAAATATTATCCATGATCTATAAGATGGTACAGAACAATACTTATGCAACTAAAAGGTAATATGTTGAGTTTCTGTAACTGAAAATCAAAATTATAAGAATAATTTTATGAATTATTTTGAGAACTGTATTATGATAAACAAATAACCTAGATATTAATCTGTTAGACAACACTTTTTTGTAGGTACAAAGTTTCAGATTGATTCATGTTCTATTAAAATATTCTTTTGCAATCTCAGAATCCTATGACTCTATCATCATTGCATAAAAATTAGTTTATTATTACATATACAATATTCTATCTCAATAGAGATATATATTACATGGATCCCCAACTATTTGGTAACCAGAGTATTGTGGATAATATAGTCAATGACATTTCCTGCATGCTAAAGATACCGAGAAGAAGTCTACATATAGTAAGTCTGTTTATTGTTAGTGTTTTACAATCATTAATTTCATTATTCAAGAAACTGAAAAAGTAAGATAAAGATTAGTTAAAAAATGGCAAACTAATTTTTTTGGAAATAAAAACTGTATTATTGTAATGGATGTGGGTGATAATTGACAGAAAATATTCAAAAGTTACTTTTGCTTCATGCCTTCTAATCTGTGAGCATATTTCCCTTGTAAACACACACAATAACATATGTTATTTTTAGACTGAATTACCTCCAAATCTACCTAGTATGATTATGACAGCAGTGGTTAGTAACTGAGCACATTCTGCTCAGATTTTCTAGTTGACACCATTTTTTCCTATCCTATGTACAGAATTTACATTATAATTTCCAATATAATATATAAAACTTGAGCTGCTGCTATTTTTTCAGATGTCTACAACTAAAGGTTGCATTGCTGGTAACTTAAGTTATACTGAGGAAGATGGTACAAAAGTGAATTGTACCTGCAGTGCAACAGTATGTATTACTAACAGTAACAGTAATATTTTATGTTCATATTTTGCTCATTTCCTATATATGTTGTGACCTAGTTTATCATGTACAACTGTGCTTATAGAAAACTTAGCCTCTGCTATATTTTTAAACCCTCAAGACTGAAGCCCAGTTTCTAGAAAGCATATACCCTTAACATTCCTATGGGGTACAGAAGAAGTTTTGCATGAGAAAACACCGCAAAATTAGTTTCCCTTCACTTTTTAAATGTACTTGTAAACTTCCCTTCACTTTTTAAATGTACTTGTAAATGTAACTACTACCTGCTATAATACTGTAATTTCAGGACTCCAGTCTATGCTCAACAGGAGCACTTATCCCTTGAGATAGGCAAACTGTTTGTACTGCCTTCTACCATATTTGTTCGACAGAGGTTGACACATAATTTGTGCCTGGGGGGAGGGGGGCTCTACCAGTGGCTGCTTCGCCCAAGAGGTGCTTTGTATTGGAGTTTCCTGCGTCAAAGTGGTTTGCTGGAAGCAAAGGAGATCAGTTCTTTTGCATGGCTGTGACCCCATTTTCTAGGAGCTTTGAAATTGGCATGCTGCTAGGATCTCTACTAGAAGTAGTGCAGACCAAATAGTAAATCAAGCCAGGAAGGAATCTCTGCTTCTGACCCAGCTGTATGTTTATTTACACAAGTTTTACACCAGTGTAACCCAATTATTTCAATTGTGAAACAAAGCCAGGAACAGAAGTCAGATTTTCTGACTCCTAGCTTTACCCTTGAAAACTGTGCCCATTCTAGGCACAAGTGGGTGATTTAAAAATCAGGAGAGAACCTCATCTCTCTATCACCACTTTGTTGTTTGAGTCAGAACCTTAAAGATCCTCATTGTTAGTTGTCCTCTACAGCTTCTCAGATTTCTTCGTTGAGTTGTTCCACATTGGCACCTGTAATGATGTTGAAGTAAGAAATAAAAGAAAACGAGACACTTCAATATATACAAACTATTTTTCCAAGTGCTTCTTCCAGTTCCTGTTTTCTCATCCATATGCTTGCCAGGTTGGCCCAAATCCTAATATGAAATATGAAGCAAGCTTTACCATATCTCAGGGTATCTGCTATGACAGACTTGTAAATATAAAACAAACTCAAAGGACAGATTAACAAAAAGTATTTAAATATCCATTGTAGAGATCTTTAACAAACATTTTAAACATGCCTTAACTTAGCTTCACATTGCATGGCTTTCTTCCTGGCAGAGACAGGTGAAAATGGGAGATGCGTTGCTCTCTGCAAAATGATTATGTAATGAGTGATCCTGCATGGAAGTAGCACGTAGAAGGCACTTTTGAAATGTGCCTTATTGTTGAAGGAGGATCTCTACATGCCCATGTTTCACAGCAGAATATATAAGATTAAGTATGCCTATAAAACACTAAAGGTGTTAAGAATGAGTCTGTATGTAAAAAGATGAATGGTTGTTTCAGGATGTAATTTTGTCCTTCATTACCCAATGTTGTTATTTTAAAATATATCATTTTCTCTATTTAAAATGATTAATTTAATTTTTGTTATTTTAGGCAGTCACTGTGCCGTCTAATGTTCAAGGAATTAGAAGTATCCTTTAAGCAAGAACTCTAGTTGTAGACTAAAAAAAAAAGTATAAACAAAGAATATTCCAAGTTAAACAATGTTTTGGTAATTTTTTTCTGCACTTGTTGGCTCAGAGACTGAGTTATGAGAACTGCCTTTGGCTCCAAAACATGTATATTAGAGCATTCATTTTTGGTTGATTAAAGCAGTAGAATGCCACAGATTTCATTTTACAGGTTGCTAACCTTAGTATGAAAGATTTGATCTCAGATGCAAAATTTATACTAATTGTAGAAAAAGATGCCACTTTTCAGAGGCTCCTGGATGATGACTTCTGTAATAAACTGTCCCCGTGCATAATGATTACGGTATGCTGACATTTCATATTGTATATCTAGAACTAAGAACAATATGGTAACATTGCAGTGATTTTCAAACAGTGTTAAAAACATGTATTCAAATTAGTGAGTCATCTCTAATGCCAGAATTTTCCACCATTAACCTAATAATAAAAAAAACGGAGAAGAACAGAATGATAGTTAAAACTAAGGAAAAGAGTTTTTTCTTCAAAGAAAAATGTTCTTATACATATTTGAAAATATATATTTTACAAGCACTTCTGCTATAAACATTAAGCAAATAAGACTGTCATTAGTACTATCATTTCACCAAGTAACAGTATGGAACATGGAATATGCAGCATAGTATTTTTTTTTTAAATCGTATGATCCCAGGACAGACACACAATTAAAAGAAGGCATTACAGTTGATTAAATTAATCCATACATTAAGGGTTTGTTTTGAGATTGCCCAGATTTGGATTTCATCTATTTGACAAATAAGAACAGAGTTGGCACTCTGTGTGATAACTGAGAAGTTCCTGTGTTCCCCACACTCTGATCTGCATATCTAACTCATCACCTATAACGCTTTTCATTCCATTGACGTGGGACAACTATGTTCCTTTATACACCTCTACGTCTGTCGGCTTTTCCCGCTGGACAGCAGCTGACCTGTAACACTCCTGCTCTATCTCAGAATGGCTTTTAAAATTATTCTTCTTTAAATCTCTAGGCTCCTAACTCTAGTAAGCCTATTGTGCCACAATATGAAAGCGGCATGGCAGAATTTGTGAGTTACTGCAGAGCAGTGGGGACCTACCTTTTTGGTAGGCAGGTCACAAATTAGCCTGGCATGCTCCATGAATGCCACTCTGATCCTTGTCCACTGCTGGTCTGCTTTTGACTCTGTACTCTGCACTCCCTGCCCTGTGCTCCCTGCCTGCTTTCCTGCTCTGCCTCCTGTTTCCTTCCCTATCTGCTTCTGTTTTGTTTGTCCTCTCTAACCTGTCACATGCCACACACACAGGCTGCTGTGCCACTTGTGGCACTCATGCCACAGGTTGGCCACACCCAGTTTAGAGGACTGTATTGAAAGGGTAACAGAATCTGCAGAATTTGTGGGACTGTACAGGTGGGAGCTGTGGAGCAAATTTTGACTACTGAAGGGAAATCAGCTTACCTCCTCTACACCTTAGTGCAGTGATTCTTAACCAGGGTGCTGTGGCACACAATAATGTTAGCATTATTAGGTGTGGAAAGATTCACAAGATAAACCCATAGGGCGCCTGTAGACATGCAGGGAGGCTGCTCTAACACACTGTCTGTAATTACAGCACATCAGAGCAGACTCAATGGGGACGCTTTAAAGCTTGTTGAAGTGCGGGAATGATGATACACAAGATGCTGCAGGCACTTTAATTAGAGAGGCTCTTGGAGCTGCTCTAATTAAAGCATCCTTCTCCACTCCCACCACCAGCCCCTGGAGCACATGTGAAAACACCCACAGATTTCAGATAGGATCCATAGTGTTAAAAACAATTGGACCTGTTGTGGTCTTTCTGAATTCCTTGCAACAGAAGAATTGTTCTATTATTTTTCTGTAGTCAAAAACTGAGTGAAAACAAAGAGCTGACATTTTCTGAGGGGATGCCTCGAGTCTGAAAAGGTTAAGAACCACTGCCTTAGAGGTACCCACATTAATGCTACTTTTGCAGCATATTGGACATATGCTTATTATCAGCTAAGACCAACTGTATTCAGACCCTCTTAGCTATTCAATTTGTGTCAATATGAAAGCACCAGGGGACATTTTATTTTGAGACTCTCTTCATATACATTGTTGAATCTTGGTAGTTCCCGTAAGTTACACATTTCCTCACTTCCTTTATGGTGCCACAATATTTTGTGATTTTATTATGAAGCCAGAATGGAGGCAGCTATACAATATCTGTAGGATAAATGTTTTTGCTGGGTTTTTTTGGCAGGCCAAGGAATGTGTGCTCTCAGATTTGTTCTAATTATTTAAAAACACTTCTGATTTTCTTTTGTTTCCTTAGGGAAAAGGAGTCCCAGATCTGAACACAAGGCTTCTGGTCAGAAAGCTGTGGGATACATTTCAAACTCCCATTTTCACTCTTATGGATGCAGATCCACATGGTAGTTACTTGTAGGCTCTGCTATGTAGAATTTGGACAAAACCTAATTAATACAAACTTTTCCAAATTAAGTTATAGTTTGGTTTAACAGATTTATGACCCCAGATAATTTGAAGGTTTATAATTAAAGCTTAAAATGGAAATGGTACCATTGAAAAGGAGGTATAAAACATGAGATGCTAAAATAAATTGTCTGCTTTCCCCTGTTCCTATATGGACATGACTTTTTCAGCCAGGTACCATCATGAAATTCAATTGAAAAAATCTGCAGCTCAGTAGCTCTTCTGTGTTTTAATGAAGCTGGAGACTCCATTATCAATACTAACACATGATAATTAATTGGGATTTGAACCACAATAAGGTGTAACAGGGTGAATTTTCTCTCCATAATGCTGTTAATAAGAAAGACCTTTGATTAAAAAGCAGCATTAAAATGTTTAGGGATTTTTAATATTTAGAATGATAAATTACAAGTATTTCAAGTCAGAAAATTATAACCAAATTATAAATGTAAATGGTAAGCTTAAAGAGAAAAACAAAAGTTGAACCCAAAATAGCTCACTTAAGCTCCTAAGTAAATCATCAATTTGGACAGGAATTTTTTTTTTTAATTTCACAAAAAGTGTTCTCAGTGTCCTAGTTTACAGAAAATAAACACTAGAATAGTAGTGTTTTATCTTGTAGTACATTCCACTGCATAGTATAGCATATTCTGTTTTCTTTAGGACAATAAAATACTAAAGACACTAACCATGCTTAAGAGCACACTGTTGACTGTTCAAACAATGGTCTAAATGTAAAATATGTGTTTATGAAAGAGCTGTTCTTGGCTAATTATATATTATATTTTAACAGAGCCTAACTGTATACTACATTGGTTTGTTCTGGAAGTAGATTGAGAGAAGTTATCATGCACTCCCACAGTTAATAGATGAAATACTTATGCAACTGAAGTCAATGAGAATTTTGGAATGTACTTCAGTGGGACCATTTAATGTTAAAATATCCTGGGCGAGTCTACACATGCACATTTAATGCACATTAGCCCAATTTAAGGTGCATTAAGGGTGCACATCTACATCTGCACACCCTACTTTATGCACCTTAAAATGGTGCTTTTAGGCTAGTTGAGCCTAAATTTGATACCCACATAAAGCTGGTACCAAATCTATGCACAAATAGCTAAGTGGCATTAGCAAACATGTAGATGTACTAAGGCACATTAACGTGGTCTGTGTCCACTGACTTAGGACTAACTTAGTCCCAAGTCAGTCTGCACACCTGCGTTAATGCACCTTAGTGCGTGCATGTGTAGAGACACACCTATATCGCCTTAATGTGCATTAGGCTAATTTGCATTAAGTTTAGGCACACATAAAAGCATGTGTAGACACTCCCCCTGTGTTCATTTGGATTATTATAATAGTCTTTTGCAAGGCTGGTTGTTTTTTACCAAAGTATGAGGGACATTTATTGTAAGCTTGAAAACACTGATAATCACACTGTAAAAAGAAAAAAAAATACATTACATTTCATAAATTAAAATAAAAATGCATTAATTTAATGTTTAAAATTCCTTAAATGAAAAGTATGAAATATATATGTTCACTGCCTCTTCAGTTTTGAATTACAATTAGAAAAGTAAGGATTTTTTTTTTATGATAGACTGGGTACAATATGTAAAAGACAGATCAAGTAGCCATTCATTTTTTATGGTCACTATTCATATTAGGCATGAAACATTAAATATTATATTGTGACACATATATTATTAAATATATGTGTCACAATATCCACTACTTTGTTAGCATAATTTTCGACATGTTGTAAAGCTAATTGTAAGACAAAAGAGCCCAACTTATCATTGTACCACCCCAGTTTTACATTAGTGTTATGTAAATAGAATTAAATAAACATAAAACTAAAATAATGCAGTGGGTAATGATGTCCAAATATAGACAAAGAAGCATGACATTTGGTATTCTGTAAATTAGGTATAGAAATAATGTGCATCTACAAGTATGGATCTGTGGTGAGTATAATTTTTTTCTAGTGCATTTTTATGTCAGGGCTTTGAATGTAAAAATGGTATGTCTATCTTGTTTTTAGTTTAATACTAAGGAATAACTTTTAGGCCCAAGCCTGTATACATTTTCTCCCAACAGGGTTTGGCCACTTGAAAAAATGCTTTTGCAAAAGCAAACCCAACTGGATGAAAATGGCAGATTTCTCATTTTGTTAAATCTGACAAATAGAAAGTTATGCTTGATGTTCAAATTATTACTAGTGGTTACAAGGATTTAAACTGATTAAAAAGCACTGTTGTACTAGGCCAATGTGGTATGCCTAGCATAAGATAGCCACTGCCCTAAAAAGAGGATACAGGTTACACCATGGATGAAGGAAGGAGAATGGGGGGAAAAAGCCCTAAAAAATAAAAGATTGTGAATCGGAACAAAACATTGATATTTTGAAGTTCTCCTTGCAATGGGAATTATGTTATTTCATTGAAAAATACCTTGTTTCACTTTTTTTCCAAGACAAATTTATGAAGCTCCCCTCTCTGTTTGAGGAGTTGGCAGCCATTTCCAGGCTTTCTGGTATGTGATAGTTAACTTGGTAGCCCAAAGTTTGTACTGAGCAGCAAGGCTGGAACCACCGAGAGCCACGGCTCCCAAGTTTTCCAGATGCCCAGCTCTGTGCTGGCTAGTTCTCAACCACTGCCAGGGAGGCAGGTGAGCTGGCAGGAAGCCAGGCAGGTTTCCAAGGGAAGGCTACTTATTTTAAACTGGAAAATGCAATGAAATTACCATGTTGCCATGCAACATTGTGACTTTGTTGAATCAGCATTTTCCAATGGAAAACTGTTCCATCACAATATTTCCAATTACTTGTTTCTGCTCCTGCTGACTTGAATTTTTGACTGGCACTCTCAGATAATCCAGTGATGAGGGAATAAGAAACTATAGAGACTAGACCATATACAAGTAGTTATTCCCAGTTATGGGAAGGGAGCATGTCTGGAGCACGAGCTTTTCTCTCTACTGTTCTGGGTCTGCCCACTTCCCCCTCACTGTTCTGTCCCTGCTCTTGCCAGCTTGAATTTCATTTGGAATTCTACTTCGGCATCTAGTTAGTGCTATTGCTATACAATTTTACTCTGGCCTAGAAAGGCAATAATATTTTCTCAAAGACAAATAATACAAGATAAGGGAACACTGACAACAATGTTTGACATTTCCTATTTTAGTCAATGTCTTTTGAAGCCCACCGTCTCACAATTCCAGCTATAAGGTGGCTTGGTCTCCTTCCATCTGATGTTGAAAGGTTAGTTATTTTCTTGCAGGAATATAACTATGCTTCTGTTTTACCACAAAACATAAGTAAAAGTAACAAGAAATCTGACAAAATCAAAGGCAATTAAGCCTGTTTAGTTTTATAGATCACTTTAATTGATTAAAACAAGAAATTAAATTGGAAGCAATGTCACATTTTAATTATTAAGCAAGCTATTACTTTTATGTGCTACTCCAGATTAAATATACGGAAAGATGCTTTAATTCCACTTACTAAACGAGATCAAAATAAACTAGACAGTATGCAGAAGAGACCGTATGTTGCTTGCCAACCGCAGTGGAAAAAAGAAGTACGTATAAATCATATTGTTTTCTTGCTCTTAATCCCTTGAGGGCAAATCCTATCTACCAGAATCCCTTCCTTTTGACTAGAAAGAGCTCTTAACATAAGAGAATCAGTAAAGCTTTGCTGCACTAGAAGTGGGCAGGATCAAGAGTACCCCTGCTACCTGTCTCCCTGAATCAGTAGTCTTTAAGTCTCCCCAGCCAAGGACTGGCTGCGTGTTAGGCTTTACTGCCATTGGTCATCATGGTGATCAAGTTACAGAGATTATGTGTTTTGGGTTTTTTTACGCTTGTGAATATTGTGAATGCATTACACCTTTTGCACATGAGGAACTGCCACTTAGATCAACTATTTATACCCCATACGTAGCTGTACCTTTAAGCCATGTAGCTCAGTTCCAACAGATTAAAATAGAGTGGTTAGCTGGTAGGAAAACTACTGCATAGCTGCTTTTTCTTCTGCTACACCTGGCTGCTGACAAATTGCTGCAGCTTTGCTGTTACATGCAGCTCAACAGAGAAAAGCACATTAACCTGTGATAAAATAAATTCTTAATATACTATGCAGGGCCATGGCAACAAAACTTCTAGTACAATTTTTATCCAGAAAACAATGTTATTTAAAATTTATTTAACAATGACATCACCCTAGGGATCAATCTGTTATCAGACATATATCAGTTTCTACTGGGTTTTCTTTTTCAGATGGAAATTATGGCAGCATCTAAGATGAAGGCTGAAATTCAAGCTTTGACTTCTCTTTCATCAGATTATCTATCTAGAGTTTATTTACCAAATAAATTGCGATTTGGTGGATGGATCTGATTATTTGTTTGTAAACCAACTATTTTCAAAAGTTGATTTATTTTGGAACTTACACAAAAGATGGACATTTGCAATTTGGTGGCAATCGTACTCAAATCAGAAGAGATTCAGCTCTTTGTTTACTTAAAGATTGTTCCTTTTATTTTTGTCTACTCTTTTGTAACCATAATTCTAACTCTAGAAGAGTTATACTTAAAATAGATGTTGAATTGATTTATTTTTTTGCTGATTTTAGTGAAATAAAGTTTCGTTTGTAGTTTAAAACTTCCAATCTGTGCCACATTCTACTTTATCGTACACTTACTCTGTATTGTCTTTTCTTCTTAAAAACAAGATGTTTAAATTAATGGTTTTAAAGTTTAATCCTATGAGAGGTTACTGGAAATGTGTCATTGTGATATTTCGTGTTTGTTATGCGTAAATCCAAAACAAATACACCAGACAGACAACTAATTATTTTCTAACTGCAAACCCTAAAAACTCAGGATGAGTTTGGAAAGTCAACTTGAGTTATTTTACTTTTGCACATCTCAAGCATAAGGTTTCTGAATGCCACACTACACTCATGCCTATATCAGTGACTCTCACGCAGGGTGCTGCAACACCCTAGGGTGCCAGGATACCCTTTCAAGTGTGCTGCAGTGGAGTCACGCAGTGTTAACACTGTTAGGTTATACAGACAAAATTTGCAAGATAAATCCAGAGATTTCAAAAAGGAATCGAGCGTTAAAAGCATTTTAACCTGCTGTGGCCCAGAAAAATTGCTCTGTTGTTTTCCCATAGTCAAGAAATAGTGAAAACCAAGAGCTGGCATTTTCCGAGGGGTGCTTCTGGTGCCTTGAGCCTAAAAAGGTTGAGCACCACTGGGCTATACCCACACTGTGGGCATGTCTGCATCGTCTGGGCCTGGAAAAGGCTTGAACCTAAGCCCTGTTCACCTTCATAAGTTTTAACTGAAGGGTTGAGACACCATCCTTGGACAAGCCATCCGTATCGAACTGGCAGCCATATTTGAATTTGAAGCATGAGTATTTTGTGTTCAGGAAGTATTTAACATCGTGCTTCACTGGAGTCTTCTAGCTCATGGCAACTTCCATCTGCCTCCTGACCCCGCCTTGGCACAGAGAATGGGAGGCCTGCAATGACTGATTTGGGTGATCATTTGCATAAAGCGTG